CCTGCTGAGCTGTCGCATCCCTCTATCAGCCGCACTCTGCTTGCTAGGGGACTTATCAACACTCTCTAATCAAGCAGCAATAAACCTAAAAATCATCCTCATAGCTCTAAGCATCGCCAAGAAAACTGTTCTCATGAACTGGAAAACAAGAAACAAGATCAATATCAATAACTGGAAAAACCTATTAATCTACTTCATTTCAATAAAAAATTCAGCGCCTCCCTATAATGACATAGCAGAACCAGAATCATCACTTCAAACAGCTCTCTCTGACCTTGTACTGCTTTAACCACAATCCCCCACTTATTAATTCATTTTTTCCCCTCCATTGCCTATAAATTTAATGTATCTATGCAACTTGTACTCTTTTTTTTTTTCCTGACATGAGAGCACGCCACACACACACACACGCACACACAATTATACTTAAATCCTCTCTCTTCTCATCATCCTTCCCTATATGGCGAGTTTAAAGTTAAACCCTCCCACTTTGACCCACATGATCATCATTTTCATTAGTCTCAGTAGATAAATAACATAAACTACCCCTTCCCCCTCCCTACCATGGCAAGTGTCTTTTAAATGCACCCCTGTAGGGAAAAAAACAAAACAAAAACAAACAGACGACCTGGCAGGTCTGAAGGAGGAGCGCCACTCGGAGCACCGGGTGAGAACTTTTTCGGGCCTTTTCAATGCACCTTACAGTATATACAGTGATAGAACCAATGAGTTAACAAAAAGTAATGAAGTGTATTAAAAGATAAATAAAGTAAAGATAAAATAATAGTGTTTTTATATATATATATATTGCAAAGGTGTACGCTCAGTGGCAGGGTAACAACAGGGGAGCAGACCCACCGAGGCTGGAAACTGAACCGTTCTGGAAGAACATATGGGAGAAGGATGCAGCACATAACAGAAGTGCACAATGGCTGGTGTCCCTGAGAGAGGAGCACAGCCACCTCCCAGAACAGAACTCAGTTACCATCACAGAGGCAGACATCCGAGAAAGAGTCTCAGGTATGAAAAACTGGACAGCACCTGGCCCTGATATGGTCCATGCCTAAGGACACTCACATCACTCCATGAGCGCCTAGCAGCACAAAAGAAGCAGCTGCTGAGAGATAGGACTCACCCAGAATGGCTAACCGAAGGGGCGAACGGTCCTGATCATGAAGGACCCTGTCAAGGGTGCAGTCCCCTCCAACTACCGGCCAATAACCTGTCTCTACACAACATGGAAGCTCATGTCAGGCATCATTGCGGCTAAGATAAGTGGGCATATGGAACAATTCATGAGCACAGCACAGAAGGGCATTGGTAGGGACAACAGAGGAGCCAAACACCAGCTCCTGGTTGACAGAACAGTCGCCCAAGACTGCCGGTCACGACACACCAACCTGTGCACAGCCTGGATTGATTACCAGAAAGCCTACACCTCAATGCCACACACATGGATCATGGAATGCTTGAAGTTGTACAATATCAACAGGGCTCTAAGGGACTTCGTTGCAAACTCAATGGGAATGTGGAAGACCACCCTTGAGGCAAATGGCAAGCCGCTCGCACAGAGTATGGGCTGGAAACCCCAAGGTCTAAGTGGGAAACTCCTCCAAAGGTGGTGGAGAATGAGCGTGCAAAGATCCTGTGGGACTTCCAGATACAGACCGACCGAATGGTAATGGCGAACCAACCTGACATTGTGGTGGTAGACAAAGGGCAGAGGACAGCCGTGGTGGTGGACGTGGCAATTCCAAGCGATGGTAACATCCGGAAAAAAGAACATGAAAAGCTTGAGAAATACCAAGGTCTCAGAGAGGAGCTGGAGAGGGCCTGGAGGGTAAAGGTGATGAGTGGTTACAGCGGATCCCCGGAACAACCTCGGACATCTCGGTCCAGAAATGTGCAGTGCTAGGAACAGCAAAGATACTGCGCAGAACCCTCAAGCTTCCAGGCCTCTGGTAGAGGACCCGAGCTTAGAGAGGGATAACCGCCCGCGGAGGGCCAAAGGTGAGTGGACAATTTTATATATAAACAGGGGTGCCCATAACTTTTTCAGTAAGGTACTCAGATGAATACCAGGACATGGTGTTTGGTACTCATTTCATTTGTTGCACGGTTCTCAATCAAGATTTTATACTTGCTTCTTTTTAATGCTAAAGTTTAGATCGGCTCAGATAATCCACTCAATCCAAGTCAAATAACCCATTAAGGCCTGACACACAAGATAAAACAGACCTGTAAAACCTATGGCCAACTTCAGAACCACCCTCCAAAACTTGAGGTTTTCCTGAAATTCAACGTCTACAGAATGATTGATATCTCGGCCTCTGGAGCAGATAGAAACATAATTGCAAAAGAATTTGAGAGATGACACTTGTCAATAAAAATGCAGTGTATTATAATCCTTCATTAGAATAATACAAAACTTCCACACAGGAAAGGTAATAAAACAACCAATAATATTGTGAGACTAACACATGTTTCTCAATACAATAAGTGAAAAAGAGTTTGGCAATAAAGTGGCACTGACTATGTGGAAAAAAATATTTTAAAAATCCACTCTCTGCCCAAAAATTCAAATAATGACTCACAGGGCTCTTTCTTAAGTAAGTAAATTAAAAAATAAAAAGACTGTTTTGGTTTGTTCTGTTTGATTTGGTCACAACATTTTACTTCTGTGCACAAATAACATGCATTGTCAATGCACGTGAAAATGTAGGCACCTGAGCTTTAATTCAGTGGCTGTTTTGGCTGCGCTTCGTCAGGAGACTTGGGGGAGACTTGGGAGAGACAGGGCAGAGACGGGGGAGACAGGCAAGACCCACACGTGCAACAACCTGGGGACGGTCCTGATCGCAAGTGTATGGTTCTTTACGCGCGTCTATAGGCCGCGCTCGGTACATGACCACGCGCGTTCGCTGAGATGTCAGAGCGGCCACAGTTTCTCCCGGGGTCAGAACGAAGAATGTTATCGCACCACGCCCCCCTAGGGAGGAGCCCCCACTATTTGAGAAGGCCTGGTCTATGTGAAGTACGCAAAAGCGCTTACTAACTCAAGTGACAGAACGCATTTCTGATCTTTGCCACGCATGCGTACCTGTGTACCACTTATGTGCACCCTGTATATTAATAAAACACTAACAATGGGAAGCAACGGCGGAGGGAAGGTCTCAGTTAGAGGTATCTCAAACTAGAAAATTGTGTCATGATCATAAGGTTCAACAAATTTGCCGCATACACCACACCCCACAGCACCCACACCTTGGAGTCTCAATTTAGCATTGACCCAGCCAGCAAAGCAATGTGGGCCCCACATGGGTTTGCCCACATGGGCAACAAGTGGGTTTGTCCGCGGTTTCCATGAGGGCCCCATATGGTTTTGCCCATGTGGGATAAAAGTGGGTTTTGAATGGGTTCCATGTGGGCCCAAAGTGGGTTAAAACCATAAGGCCCACTTGGGCCCCATATGCCCACATGGGTAACAGGTGGGTTTGTCCGCAGTTTCCATGAGGGCCCCATATGGTTTTGTCCATGTGGGCTAAAAGTGGGTTTTGAATGGGTTCCATGTGGGCCCAAAGTGGGTTAAAACCATAAGGCCCACTTGGGCCCCATATGCCCACATGGGTAACAGGTGGGTTTGTCCGCATGTTCCATGAGGGCCCCATATGGTTTTGTCCATGTGGGCTAAAAGTGGGTTTTGAATGGGTTCCATGTGGGCCCAAAGTGGGTTAAAACCATAAGGCCCACTTGGGCCCCATATGCCCACATGGGTAACAAATGGGTTTGTCCGCGGTTTCCATGAGGGCCCCATTTGGTTAAGCCCATGTGGGCTAAAAGTGGGGTTTGAATGGGTTCCATGTGGGTCCAAAGTGGGTTAAAACCATAAGGCCCACTTGGGCCCCATATGCCCACATGGGTAACAAATGGTTTTGTCAGCAGTTTCTATGAGGGCCCCATATGGTTTTGCCCATGTGGGATAAAAGTGGGTTTTGAATGGGTTCCATGTGGGCCCAAAGTGGGTTAAAACCATAAGGCCCACTTGGGCCCCATATGCCCACATGGGTAACAGGTGGGTTTGTCCGCAGTTTCCATGAGGGCCCCATATGGTTTTGTCCATGTGGGCTAAAAGTGGGTTTTGAATGGGTTCCATGTGGGCCCAAAGTGGGTTAAAACCATAAGGCCCACTTGGGCCCCATATGCCCACATGGGTAACAAATGGGTTTGTCCGCGGTTTCCATGAGGGCCCCATTTGGTTAAGCCCATGTGGGCTAAAAGTGGGGTTTGAATGGGTTCCATGTGGGTCCAAAGTGGGTTAAAACCATAAGGCCCACTTGGGCCCCATATGCCCACATGGGTAACAAATGGTTTTGTCTGCGGTTTCCATGTGGGCCCCATTTGGTTAAGCCCATGTGGGCTAAAAGTGGGGTTTGAATGGGTTCTATGTGGGTCCAAAGTGGGTAAAAACCTTAAGGCCCACATGGGCCCCATATGCCTACATGGGTACATGCCTACAATTATCCAGTAGTTTAATTTCCTGAATCTATGATGAACGATATACAATGTGGGCCCTATCAGACCAGACGCTAGTGGTTCAAAACACAGGTCCTGATGTGTTTTTGATGAGAACATTGTAACAACCTTTAAAAAAAGTTTCAATTCCTCCAGGATTTTGCAGGTATTGTTTGTGATTGTTGGGGGCTAAACACATTTTTCCAAAAGATGAAAGGTTCAGCTTAAACATAATTGTACATGAAGACACATTTCTTTGAATTCTACTGAAATTATACCAAAGAGGCCAAGGGTAATAAGAAAATAACTTTTATTTGGGCTGGGACGAAATATATGATCGGATTTGGATCGCGTACTTTTTGCTGCAATACCAATACTTTCAAGTATTGCAATACTTGTGTTTGTCTTCTAGTAACAGTTACACAGCACCTTGTTACATATTGTGTCAATGCACTTTTCAGTCTTAGCACTTCAATGAATGTCAAATGTCATTTCGGATTGCCCCCGAGTATCATGATACGTATCGAATCATGACAAAAGTGTATCGTCCCAGGCCAACTGAAAGAGAGTTATGATGACAAAATTGTAAAATCCTGGAGGGACTAACAAAAGGCCAGCGAACAAACAATTGCCAATCATATTTACAATAAAACCTGCTTAAATATAACAAGTCAATTTCATACCTTTTAATCATCAGACCAAGGATTTTCTGAAGTTGGTTGTTCAGTGCTTTAGAAGAGTTGATGTGTAAAAAATTATAAGCCTTGTGAGAGAAGTCCTCCTATGCTTGTGTGAAGTGTTCATACTTTGTAGGCAGGATTGGCGGCTGCATCACTGATGACCCAGAGGTGACTGGTCAGCTCAAGATTCTTCGTATCCTGCTGCAAAAACAATGTTCATGTCAAGCACATTTTTTAAAGTTTATATTACTAATGGAAAAGACATCTTATTTCATCTTTACTAATGTCAGTCACTCCTGACAGCATTATCTGTAGGGTCATATATATATTTTTTTTTTTCAAAAATGTCTTCCTCAAAGCATCAAGAACTAAATTCTTCATTGTAACTGGATTGCTGCATCAATTACATCTACACCAAATTCTAATTCTAAAAATTAAAATTCTAGTTGACCTTAAAATATATATATACAAAAAAATAAAAAATAGAAGTTAATTCTGGTTTCATGTCAGACAGTGAGAAAAAAAGTTCATTTACTTCTGTAATTCAACTTAAAATGTGAACTCCACACAGAAAGGCCCCATCCCTGGTGCGAATCGAACCCGGACCTTCTGTGAAGAACGAGTGCTAACCGCTGTACTACCGTGCCGCCCAAAGGAAAGATGAGAGACATGAGACCGAACAATGCAGAAGAGCTGAAGGAGCTATTGAAGCATCCTGGTCTTCCATAACACCTCAGTAGTGCCACAGGCCGAGAGCATCCATGCCACGCTGCATTAAGGCAGTCATGATTATAGTTTTCAGAGGGCACACATTTCTGTTTAAAATAAATTGTTCATTGATTTCATGTAATATTCTAATCTTCTGAGATTTTGAATTTGGACCTAAGCTGTAAACCATCATCAATATCATAACCAATACAGGCTTAACATGTCATTTTGCATGCAATGAGTCTATATATCTAGTTTCACATTTTAAGTTGAATTACAAAAAATAAATTAACTTTTTTACTAAACTGCGCTTCGTGCTCTAAAATAATGAAATGCATGCACATATTTTATTGAGCTGCAGACAGTAAAAGTAAAAGTAAAAGTGGAAAGGATGGCTTTTAGCACTTACCAAGTTTAAACGAGCTTTAAGTCAGCCTGCACCCAATACTTAGGCTTCTTAAAACTGTGTGCTACATACTAGAATGTTCCATGTCCTGTAAAATGCAATACAAAATTGTGAATTGCAATAGATTAGAGGCAGGAAATAAACCATGGAATAAAGATACAAAAACTTACATTATACGTTAAAAGGCACAAGGTTCTCATGGTACACGTCTCCTTGGTTTTCACTTTATGTTCTCCTGATGAACGTTAACAGTGGATACTTAATGTGTAGGCTCTCAGCCATACACAAGTTGTACATCTTCAATGAAGGTTATAGAGTCATCTTCTGTACTCTGCAGCTGAAGTGTATGATGTTCGCCTCAGTGGATACTAAACTCCACTCATGAAATGCACCATTATTAGGTTTTTGTGGTCTTGTGTTTTCTTACCCTCACACGCCCTCAACTTGAGTGAATGTGGGAATTGTTTAATACTACTATATAACACCCGGCCAGTCTCAGCATGGATTTGGTTAAGCCGACTACAGCTTCAATTGTAAAATCTTTTGAACAAATCTATGGAACACTGTTCGATTTCCCAAGGTTTATACAGGCAAATACACACATATTTCTTAACATTTGCCAAAATTTCATCAAGCAGAGGGCAAAATTGGCAACTTTGAGCAAAGAATGTTGTCTATTTCAGCCAAAACTGCAAATAAATATATTTTAGACCATAATTTATGTACACAGTAAATTTTCTATGAAATTTTGATTCACTGACTTTTAATACATTTGAATGCTTTTTCTAATGGCATTTACAGCCTTGATTTTGGTAAAATGTTAAACCCCGGCCCCACAGAAATTGTAACGTCTAATCTCTTTGCACCCTTTATGCTCAGTCTTAATTTTTCTGGAGTTGGCATTGCTTCACATGAATATTTGAAACTGACTTTCTTTAAGATAAGATAGCCAAATTTATGCTGTGCCCATGAAAAAAGAAAATAAATTGCAACAGTATATTTGCCTGGGAATACCCATTCTGCTTTGAGAATGGGTATTAAAATCAAATCATTTCGAACTGCTCAGCAGCCTGGAGGCCAAGGCCATGGATTTGCATGGATTTGGGGACGAATCACACAACGGGGAGAGACGGCAAGATTATGATGAACTATTGGACAGATCGACGCATGTAGTTTGTTTACAGATCCAACATGACAGCAGACACAATGCCATCGTTTTATCAAGCTTCAGACCGTGTTAAATAGTTTTGCTGGAAAGTATTTAAAAGAACAGCATTTGGCTGACATACGTCATCGGGTCCAATTGATAGGATTGGCTATGGCTACGCGCTGATGCACATTAGAGACTTCTGTAGCGCCCAATAAACAGCTTTGGACAATGGTAAACAACACCTCTCCTACGAGAAAATTAATGGTTGTTTCCCAGACTAAATATCACTTGTTATTTACGACTTATGCAGTATTATTTAGCTTTGTATCCAAAGCAAAGTAAAAATCTATTCATATCTTCAAATAACAATTCCCAAAGTGACCACACTTCAGTTGCCCATGCTTAACTATGTAAAAAATAACACTGCAACATAAGTCAACTTTTTAATAAAAAAAATTGCAAATTAAACAGAGCAATCTTGACTGATCCAAGCTTCACAACTATGCTCTTGTGGAACAGGTTATAAACTTTACTTTTGTTTTTAACAAAACAAACATCCAACTGGATCACCATTATGATATAACAGTAAGATTATGTCAAATGACTCGATTCCCCTTCAGTTTGTCTTTTGTTCAGCTCTCTTTGAGCTCTTTCATTCCTCATGCCTCCTCTGTCACGGGCCCCAGTGAACCATTTTGAGAGGGCCTTCTCCGCATCCTTCTGGGTTATTGCTTGAGTTAAGACATTTCTCTTCAGGGCTCCTAAGAAAAGACAAGCACACAAAAACATTCTCTAAACTACATAGTAAAAGTACATCAACAAAACAGACCGTTTTTTTTTTTTTGACTGTTGGGAGCAATAGTCAAAAACGGGGGTATGGTTTATCTAAATGAGATGTAAATGAGCCCTATTGTTATTCTCAACAGCAGAGAGAGGTGAGAACTGCCCAAAACTTCAGAGGGGTTTTTCAGCCCTTTGCCCATTTTGGAATTGTTAACTTCAAATCGTCGCTACGCATCCAAATATATCAGATTTCCATGTGTTACACATTGTTGGAAAGCTTGGAGACTACACTTTAACAATCTGTGAAAAGCTCAAAATGCCCCAGAACTGACATGTGTCCCTGATTCTAGTGACTGGTCACAAATGGGACCGGACCGTCTGTGTGCCTGTGTAAGGGGTGGTGATAATATGAGCAATAAATAAAAAAATAATATAAAATATATAAACATTACTTTATTTTTATTATTTTTTTAGAGTATCTATAAGAGCAGTAATCCATAAGAATTAAAATAATTTGGCTAAAGAAGTCTTACCATATATCACATCAAACAGACGCAGCTCTCGAAACATGTTCTTTCCATGGCGTTCAAAAAGATTATACCGCACTGCCAGGTTATGGGACATTAGAAAAGACATCATCCGTCTCACCGAATCATCCAGGGAAGAGCCACCAATTTCTCCTACCATGTAATCAGAATCAGAATCAGAATCATTTTTATTGCCACGTAAGTAACAGGAGGTCACAGACTAGGAAATTGCTTTGGCTCAGTGCAACAGTCAAAAAGAGATAATAAAAATAAGAATAAAAAACACTTCTAAGGAATAAATTTAAATTTAAAATAGAGTTACAGTTACTATTTACAATATACAAGTGCACATGGTGCACACAATGTAAGGTGACAGCAGTACAGTGAAGTAAAGTGACGTACGATGGGCAGTAAAGTGACTTTATAAAGGGCGGGGGGACAGGTTAAGAAGTGTTCAAGAGTCCAACAGCAGAGGGGAAGAAACTGTTCTTGTGGCGGGAGGTTCTAGTCCTGATGGACCGCAGCCTCCTGCCTGAAGGGAGTGGTTGGAATAGTCCATGTGCAGGGTGAGAGGGGTCGGCTGTGATACGACCAGCCCGGCCTCGAGCTCGGGCGACGTACAGGTCCTGCAGCGATGGAAGGCTGCGGCCGATCACTTCCTCTGCAGAGCGCACAATGCGCTGTAGTCTCTGTTTGTCCCTGACTGTGGCTCCAGCGAACCACACGGTGACGGAGGAGGTGAGGATGGACTCGATGATGGCCGTGTAGAACTGCACCAACATCTGTGCAGGCAGCTTGGCTTTCCTGAGCTGCCGCAGGAAGTACATCCTCTGCTGGGCCTTCTTGATGAGGGAGCTGATGGTCGGCTCCACTTGAGGTCCTGGGTGATGGTGGTGCCCAGGAAACGGAAGGACTCCACAGAGGTGATGGGGGAGTCCATCACGGAGGGTGGGGGTGGGGGGACAGTGCTCTTCCTGAAGTCCACAATCATCTCCACTGTCTTCTGGGCATTCAGCTCCAGGTTGTTACCACTGCACCAGGACACCAGCCGGTCCACCTCCCTCCTGTAGGCGGACTCATCGTTGTTGGAGATGAGTCCAATGAGGGTGGTGTCGTCCGCGAACTTGATCAGCTTCACGGAGTCGTGGCTGGAGGTGCAGTGGTTGGTGTACAGGGAGAAGAGCAGGGGAGAAAGAACACAGCCCTGTGGGGCTCCTGTATTTATAATCCGAGAGTCCGAGACATTCTTCCCCAGACGCACTCGCTGCTTCCTGTCCGTCAGGAAGTCAGTGATCCACCTGCAGGTGGAATCGGGCACGTTGAGCTGGGAGAGCTTGTCCTGGAGCAGGGATGGCAGGATTGTGTTGAAGGCAGAGCTGAAGTCCACGAACAGGACCCTGGCGTAGGTCCCCGGGGAGTCCAGGTGCTGTAGGATGTGGTGGAGGGCCAGGTTAATGGCGTCGTCTACAGATCTGTTGGCTCTGTAGGCGAACTGCAGGGGGTCCAGGAGGGGGGAGGTGAGGGACTTGAGATGGGAGAGAACCAGGCGTTCAAATGACTTCATGACGACAGACGAAAGTGCTACAGGTCTGTAGTCATTGAGTCCTGTGATCCTGGGCTTCTTCGGGACGGGGACAATGATGGAGGATTTGAAGCAGGCCGGGACATGGCAGGACTGCAGAGAGGTGTTGAAAATGTCCGTGAACACAGGAGTAAGCTCACTGGCGCAGTGTCTCAGAGTGGCCGGAGACACGTGGTCCGGGCCAGGAGCTTTGCGGGGGTGCAGCCTCAGGAAGAGTTGTTTAATCTCTTTAGCGGCTATTGTTAGGCTGGGGGCAGGGCTGATGGGTGGGTCGTTAGAGTAGTGGGGGGTGGGGGAGGGAGAGGTGTCAGGGGCAGCATCAAAGCGACTGAAAAATGAGTTCAGATCGTCAGCTAGCTTGTGGTCGTCAGCACAGGGGGGGGCTTTGGGTTTGTAGTTGGTGATCTCCCGTAGGCCCCTCCAGACAGCAGCAGTATCGTTGTTACCAAACTGCTCCTGTAGTCGTTCTCTGTGCCGGGACTTGGCTGCTTTCAGTTCTCTCCTGAACTGATATTTAGCTGCTTTGTAGCCGCTGCGGTCCCCCTCCCTGAAAGCAGACTCCTTTGCTTTCCTGAGCTGCCGGAGTTTAGCAGTGAACCAGGGTTTGTCGTTGTTATAGATGACCCTGGTCCTTGTTGGAATGATGCTATCCTCACAGAAGTGAATGTATGACGTCACAGTGTCCGTATATTCATCCAAACTATCTGTGGCAGCTCTGAAAAGGTCCCAGTCTGTAGATTCCATGCATGCGCGCAGCTCTTCCACAGCTTCATCAGACCACACTTTGGAGCTCCTCATTGCAGGTTTCGAGAGCTTTAGTCTCTGTCTGTAAGCAGGAACCAGATGTATCATGGAGTGATCTGAGAAGCTGAGGGCTGGCTTGGGAACAGCGCGAAAAGCTCGCGCACGGTGGTGTAACAGTGATCCAAAGTGTTCTCCTCTCTGGTCGGGCATTTGATAAACTGTCTGTATTTGGGTAATTCCTGGCTCAAGTTTCCCTTATTAACATCCCCCAGGATAATAATCAGAGAGTCCGGGTATAAGCGTTCCATACACAGTACTTGCTCTGCGAGTGCGCGCTGAGCCTCGCGCGCGTCCGCGCATGGCGGTATGTAAACAGAGGCAAGAATGAATGAAACAATTTCGCGCGGGGAGTAATATGGTTTACAATGAATGAAAAGATATTCCAGAGCAGGAGAGCAGTGCTTGGAGATCACTGTCACATCGTTACACCAGTTTGTATTGACGTAGAAACACAGCCCACCGCCTCTGCTCTTCCCTGAGAGCGCACAATGGCGATCCGCGCGGAACAGCCCAAAGCCCTGCAGCTCCAGAGCGCAGTCCGGGATCCGCTCATTTAGCCAGGTCTCAGTGAAGCAGAGGACACAGGATGTGGCGAAGTCCTTGTTTCTTCTCATGAGCAGGCTGAGTTCGTCCATCTTATTGCCCAGTGAGCGTACGTTGGAGAGAAAAATGCCGGGGAGAGCCGTGCGCGCTCCTCTCCTCCTCAGACGCACGAGCAGGCCTCCGCGCTTTCCCCTTTTACGGGCCCACACTTTTTTGGCTAGAACATGAACTAAATCAGCCGCAGATGCCAAGAAAACAGGCAATAGGTCCATGGGAACGGTGGGTCGGATGTTCATAAGTTCCTCACGGGTGTAGGAACAGCCAGATGCGCAGTTAAAAAGTAAAAACAAAAGAATAAGAGAGCAGCAAAGAGCCATGTCGACCGTACGAGGCGCCATCTTTGTAATATTGTAAAACCTTCACAAATACAAATAAAAAGATGTTAAATAATAGACTTGAATACATTCCTGTACAGATTCCAGAACTAATTGAATGAGACCTGGTTTGAGGTACTGAAAGATTCTTATTCCTAGGGCTTCCAAGTTTGGTCGTTTAGTCGACGGTCGACCAAGACATTCATTGGTCAACTAAGGCCCTGTTTATACTGAGACGCTGTGCAGACGTTTCCAGGCTATTAACAAACACGACCTGGCTCCTAATGCAAATTTCTCTGCGTTCACATGAGGTTGAAAAACGATGTAGTTCTAGCGCCCGGCCAGTAGGGGGCAGAGGAACTTTACAACACTCACTAGACCCCCAGCCCCGTGCCCAGCCCCCCCTCCCGGCAGTATATTCACTTCCTGTGCCAGACCCTCAGAACGCACCAACATCATTCTGCATTTTAACAGCAGCTGTGAAAATGGGAACTGAACCTAGAGCTTCGCGTGGTCTCGTTTGGACGAACGAAGGAGTAGAATTATCCTCTGTGCCGCGCTCGAAGCCCACGAAGCTAGTTTGTGCGAGCGGCGCCATTTTTGTTGATGTTTGTTCTCCGCTACAGCGCATGTCCAAATTTACGTGCGGGGAGCAGCGGGGAGGTGGGGGTCAGAACAGAGGGGGATTTCACACCTTTTCCCCTCTCGCGGGTGTGAAAAAGAGCCCCCGCTGTGCAGCGTTTCTGAGTTGTCCCACTCTGCAGGCTGGATCTGAACACTTACGTTTTCACCCCCCTGGAACACAGTTTTTGTATGAACGCTTGGTAGAAACCGACATCCAACTATACCGTTTTACTGCCACATTGTCTCCGTGTAAACTCAGCCTAAATGCACGCACTTTTGCATCCATTAAGATGCCATCAATATACATAACACCAGAGGCCTGTGGCAGGTCCATCTTTTACTTTGTGCTAATATTTATAAAAACATATCAAAGTTTTACAGACAGTGGTGACGTGAATTGTCCATCCATCCATTTTCTTCCACTTGTCCGTTGCCGGGTCGTGGGGGCAGTTGGAGCTGCCCAGGTCACATAGCACCGGCCCCCATGGCTCCTTCTGCAGGTGGTGGGTCCACGGAAGGACGGCCTCACGGTTCAAACCGGGCCTGTTGGTCTCTCCTAGGGGGCAACCAGTGTACGCAGACACTGGAGGCAATGTGGGTGAAGTGTCTTGCCAAAGGACACAACGACAATGTGCACCTTCAGGAGGCGGGATTCGAACCCCTGACCTTCCGATCATGAGACGACCCGCTCTACCATCTGCGCCACTGTCGCCCCGACGTGAATTGGTTTTGCAAAAAAAAAACAAAAATTAAAAAACACTGAGGAGAGAAATGAGGACGGGCGAGCGTCTCTCCTGGAGGCGCATAAGCAGCTGAGATCAGCGGCTCTGTGTCTTGGCGAGGTGTTGCCATATATTGAGAATGAGGAGTCACGTACCGAGTTGGGGTGATTTGGGGGGGGGCCCTGAGCCTGTCGGACAATTTGGCTGCGGATTAGGGGCACGCTCCCAGAATTTCACACATTCCTCATATTCCAGAGCACTTCAAATGTTGCGCATTTATGTTTTTGGCGAGACAGAGACGGATCTAAGAACACGACAACAAAAAGACAGAAAGTCAGCAATGCAAAGAGATAAGGCGAAAGAAAAGGGACCTTACAGGAACAAGCTCATACCAAGTGCAAAACAGCGGTATTTGGAGAAGCTTGCGGACATTCAAAACATCAACACACGAGCTCCCTGCAGCGGAGACCCGGACCATTTACCTCCGTGCACATACATGCACATACATGGACACAGTAAACTACCTTGTATTTGGTGTAAGTTACTACACGATGCAGAAGTTTAAAAGCCACGCATCTTTGGAAAGTTACGAGACTTTCTGCTGTGGCTGGATCCATGACTTGGCTCTACAAGCCTCGCGCTGGTGAAAACAGCTGTACTGGCAAAAGTAACTTTCCTCACATGTGTTTTTGTGTGTTGTCATTACATTGCATTTAGCAAAATGACAAAGTAATAGAGTTTGTGTTTCGTAAACACTACACTGTTACGAGATGTTCAATGTACACAAATCTTTCCAACATGTTTTGACAGGTCAGAGACTTGCGCTCCTTGATGCTGTGTCCATTTCTGTAACATAAAAATTGTATCCCATTGTTCCTACGTTTTCCATATCTATCGTGTGAGGTATTGGAGCAGTTTTTAACGCAGCAGTGACTTCCAGGCGGTAAAACAGTCCGGAATAGCAAGAACCTCCGTTACTACGGCGTTAACAACACACGTAAACGATGTGTATTGCCGCCGGACTGCAACCACTAAGGCGTCGAGGGGGGGATCGGCGGGGGGATTATGATTTTGTGGTTTTAACAAGCTGTGAGCCAAAATCATAAAAATTATAACAAAGGCTTGACATATGTCACTTTGTCGGCAATGAGTCTATATCATATATTAGTTTCAAATTTGAAGTTGAAATGCAGAAATAAATAAAATAAAACTTTGTCACATTATTCTAATTTTCCCCGAGTTTCACCTGTATAAATAGTAGTTACAGCTCCCAAAGTTTTATGTTTTATGAGTATGGAGTATGCAGTATGGGTCAGATAAATAGAAGTTTTGTCAGCATCATGCCACGCCCCCTTTTAGTCAACTAATCGCTTCTCAAAGCGTGTTTTTGGTCGACCAAGAAAATCTTTGGTCATTGACAGCCATACTTATGCAAATACATGCCATTTTAATTAAGAGTCAGTCTGATATGACACAGCTCTACAGAGAGTAACACAGCACGTGCAACCTTTAGTTCGGTGTTTCCAGTTTCCAATTCAACTGCAATTACGCAATAAAAATGAATCTAGAAATAATTACAAGGCATTGAGTTGCCTTGTGTACATAATGCGTGGTATAAAGAAAGTTGCCTTGCCTTAATAACTCATTTTATGAAATCTGTCAATGGGACAACTTTTTTATGTTTAGTTGACTAAATAGTCGTTTTTCATTATGAAAATAATATGTAATATGTTTGACCATTAAGAAGATGCCTAACTCTGTATTGCATAATTGCTATTTAATTGCTGGAAAACAATGATTGATGCTCATCCCAAGCCCACCAAACCATAATAATTGGTGAAGATTGAAACCCGTCCTATGCACTTTAAGAACCACTATGGTATGGGTCAAACATATACTTACAACATATACTTACAACAGCTGACATAAATTCATTGTTGGACAGTTTTTCGTTGATGTCAGTTACATCTTGGACAGTTTCCAGTGGAAACTCTTCTGGTGGTGTAATGATGGCCGCAGGTTCTTTATGCTTAAGCAGCAAGTTTAACATTTTGCCATGGACACGTTGTGTGTTCTTAACTTCTTCTAATAACGTGAATATTTTAGTGTAAGGTTAAAACGGAGGACAGGACCGGCCGGGCCTGTTTTCTCTGTGAACCAGTGACCAAATGGAGATAATACTTCACCGCAACTTCAAAGGAACCATGGGGTTCAGCCACAGGAGCATGAGGATTACGGACTCCAGACGGACCCATAAAACAGCAGGATACCCATCTGGTGCCTTTTTCATGTTAACAGAGGAGCTGATACAAATCAGCATTGTCACAATGCATTCCACGGACCAAGGGGTCCACCCGCGGCCCTCTGACGCTCCCTAGCGGACACTGGACGCTACCGCACCCAAGACGAACATTCAAAGGGGACATTACTCAATGATATTAACGTTACGGACCTTACTCGTGTGTTTAATGTCTGTGATGTAAATACACTGTGTGTTTGTACATGTCTTATGATCATTTGCATCAATCCTGTATGTTTCTTTACAAACTGTCTGTGTAAAGGAGTTTGTCCACAGAGAGGGAAGACATGGACACGCCCCTTTAGAAGTCAATATAAGCACCCGCAAAGCAAGAGACTTTCTCTTGCCTTCTCCTGAAATCACTATCGCAACCTCCCTATCGACTCTGCGGCGGCACCAGTACGGGCCTCCAGCAACGACTGTGCCCGTCCGCATCGAGACTTTCCCTTCCAAGCAAACCTATTTTCTGGTTGGGATTTATGAACTCTTCATCACCAGCCGGCCCTGGCTCTGGACTCTGCGCACGTGACTCATTCCGGACTGAGTGTGCACGCCTGGATCCAAAGTTGGACTGCCGTCGCTGGCTTCATAATTCCCGCCTGCCCGGACAAAGAAACCACGTGGACGACATCGCCTCCACCCCATTCTTCATTCTCATCCTCCACTCCATCCTCATCCCAGTCACCCACTTCCCTCTACGCTCCTTCAAAGTAAGACTGTTCCTTTGTTAAATGTATGATTTGAATGATATGTGTACAACTCCTGCTTTTAATGTGACCAGAAATCCCTTTTCGTTATATTTTTACCCTCATTTTTGTAATCAATAAACTACTTTTCTTTAACTCAACCCCTTCAGAGTCGCGTTGTTAGATCTCGGAATATCACTGGCCGATAAAAGTACTCACTACCTATTAGATTTATAAGACTGACTCGAGGCAAAGTTGGTTTGGATCTGTGCAGTGTGTCATACACTGCTGGTGCCTAAATAAATATAAAGCAGATCCCCCACTCGAATAGGACGGCCAGACTCTGATTTGAAGACTAGCCGCACTATTCTTCTCATAACATAATCTGTAGTATTATTACCCTAATCTATATAATATTTACCCTACATTAGTAAACATGGCCGTATTATAGGCTGCTGCGGTGCCAGTGTCAATGGGGGTAGGGCTACCGTAGTCTGCGTCATCGGACTGGCTTGCTGAGCTGTTCTGAATATTTACGTGGATGGGATTGCGGCCATAGTAGCTACGACAGTCTGCGACATCGGAGTCACTGGTTGAACTGCTCTGGATGATTCGGTGGGTAGCATTGGGGGCATGGGGGCTACGGCCAATTGCAGCATTGGTGTGGCTTGCTAAATTGCTCTGGATGCTTCGGTGGGTGGCATTGGGGGCATGGGGGCTACGGCGATCTGCAGCATTGGTGTGGCTTGCTGAATTGCTCTGGATGCTTCGGTGGGTGGCATTGGGGGCATGGGGGCTACGGCGATCTGCAGCATTGGTGTGGCTTGCTGAATGGCTCTGGATGCTTCGGTGGGTGGCATTGGGGGCATGGGGGCTACGGCGATCTGCAGCATTGGTGTGGCTTGCTGAATTGCTCTGGATGCTTCGGTGGGTGGCATTGGGGGCATGGGGGCTACGGCGATCTGCAGCATTGGTGTGGCTTGCTGAATTGCTCTGGATGCTTCGGTGGGTGGCATTGGGGGCATGGGGGCTACGGCGATCTGCAGCATTGGTGTGGCTTGCTGAATTGCTCTGGATGCTTCGGTGGGTGGCATTGGGGGCATGGGGGCTATGGCGATCTGCAGCATTGGTGTGGCTTGCTGAATTGCTCTGGATGCTTCGGTGGGTGGCATTGGGGGCATGGGGGCTACGGCGATCTGCAGCATTGGTGTGGCTTGCTGAATTGCTCTGGATGCTTCGGTGGGTGGCATTGGGGGCATGGGGGCTACGGCGATCTGCAGCATTGCTGTGGCTTGCTGAATTGCTCTGGATGCTTCGGTGGGTGGCATTGGGGGCATGGGGGCTACGGCGATCTGCAGCATTGGTGTGGCTTGCCGAATTGCTCTGGATGCTTCGGTGGGTGAAATAGGGGCCACGGTGGTCTCTGTCACTGGTGTGGCTTGCTGAATTGCTCTGGATGCGTTGGTGGCTGGCATGGGGGCTACGCTGGTCTCTGTCATTGGTGCGGCTTGCTGAATTGCCGGGGTTGTCACAAGGTACGGTATTGTGGGGGCTTGGGCTGCGGGCTTCAGCGGTATCAATTTCTGAATTTGCCATCAGAGTTGGTCTCAACCCTGGACTTTTTATGGCAATGTCAGGAGGAGTAGGCGGTAATTCTTCGTCAATGTCTGTTTCATCATCGCTGTATAATACTTGAGTCTTTTTCTTGGCTTTCCTTAAAAAAAAAAAAAAAAAAGTTCACATACATAAATTATCACATTTATCAAAGCATGTCTTTAAACTGCTGTAAACTGTACAGCATGCCTCCTGTGACTGAAAATCCTGCACTCTGTTGACACAGTTTACAAATATTTATAAATAGTATATTACCTCATTCTTTTTGCCTGCATCTCACTATCGGTTTGAATATCTGACTGTACTTCTGCTTTCAAGAGCTTTCTCCTGGCATCAGCGTATGTTTCTACAAAAGGGCACACACAATTTAAAAGAAGTCTCCTCCCCCAGCCCTCAAAAAAAAAAAAATATATATATATATATATATAATAATTACCTGCTTGTTCCAGAACACGCACAGCGTACTTGGACCATGATGCATCTGGGAGTATTTGATTTTTTACAGCCCTTGTGACATTTATGTTTAAACCAGAGGGCCAGTAGCACTCAGATGCATCGTCTGTGAGCCAAGTTATGGGTATGACGTCAACAAACTTGACACCAGCCATCTCCTCATCAAACTCAATAACGTTGAAGGACATGGTGCAAGTTCAAAGGGTTGGATGTTACAATAAATGAACGCACATATAATGCATATTATATTAGGTAGGGCTGGGCGATTTAACCAAATTTGCTAGGTTTCATAATCATTTTGTTTTTTGCAGAAATTAGGCCTATTGCATCCATTAAGACCTGCTATACACAACCCACTTAAAAAATTCATGCCTCGTCTGCTCTTAAAGCTGCACTACCTGAATCAAATCAAGTTGTAGGTAGTTGAATAAAATCTTTCAGCTGTTGCCTAAATTCATTTCTAACTCTCACAGACACTCCTCTAGGGCTGCAACTAACGATTATTTTGTAATCGATTCATCTATCGATTATTTTTACGATTAATTGAATAATCGCTTGGCTGTGAATGATGTAGGAAAATTTAATTTTTTTCAATTTGGCATCGCTTGAGGACGTTTGTTGGAGGCTCTTTGCGCTAATTCTGTTTTCTGATTGGATGATACACAGGCAGATATTCATGAAATTTACAATGTACAAAACACTACATAACCTAATTTGTTTTTATAGTTAGTGTTTCATCAAAAATACTACATTTTCATGTTATTTTTGCTCTATTTGAGTCTGTGTGAACCAGAAAACGATTAATCGATTACTAAAATAGTTGTCGACTATTTCAATAATCGATTAGTCGTCGATTAATCGATTAGTTGTTTCAGCCCTACACTCCTCCACATCCCCATTATTCACTTGAGTACATTAGAAGCACATCTCAGTTCATAGTGTTCATAGCGAAAAGATGTGAACCGGGCCGACCACCAATGATAACACTGTGCTAATTTAGCCTCTGACTTCCTGATTCGCACTGGAGGATAAAGCGGTATATTTTGATACACAGACTGATTTTATTTAACAAATGTCACATTTATAATGTATATCTATGGTAACAAATGATGTTTTCTCTGCAACTGCAAGAAAATAATTTGATAACAGATATAAAAAGGTAAAATTTCTTCCATAATAAGCCATTTATGTCTTTAAATTATTACACTTTTATCACCAAACCTCAAACACTGCTGCCTTGGAATGACAGTGTTCTCCTTGGACAATGCTAAGAATTACAGCAGAGGTCACCAACTTTCACCCACCAAGCTACTTATACCCAACACAAATGTCAGAGAGCAACTTATGCTTCATGAAACTTGTGTAAAATTAGATCAAGTTTTAGTTTACTCTGGAGAATTAGTAGCCAAGATCATAATTCATAGTAAATTGTTTGATTTTTGTATTTACTATACAGATGCAGAAAGTGTTTGGTGAGCTTGATCCCTGAATTACAGAGATGGAGGTAAAAACTTCAACTTGCACTCTCAAACACAAAACAGAGCCTTTGCTATGGTCTGGTCTGAGCTATGTGACGTGGACATGGTGCTTCTGACATGACTTCACAATTTAGTAATTTTCCACTTCGATTTTTAAAAGCACAAATTTAACAAAATTAATTAAATTTAATCGCCCAGCTCTAATTTTTGGGTAATAATTCAGTAATATTTATGTCATTTGTTCTCACTCTATGGTACTTGGGCTTCTTCAGGTGGTACATCTGTAATTTTAGACTTGAGTGAGTTTCTTCTGTTCTGATCCAGTTCAAACAGCATTAGGACAAGAAATAACAGCTCCAGTTGATTACGTACAATGTCTCTCAGAGGTGGGAGACTCAAGTCACATGACTTGACTCGAGTCAGACTTGCAATTTTCGGGACTTGAGACTTGCTTGACAAATGCTCCAGAAAAACTTTACATGACTTAGACTTTTTTTGTGACTTGAGATTTCAATCGAAACTTGAGGCCAATGACTGTCATGGCAACGTGTAAACAAGACAACCTCCCTCTGCCTTGTTACAGCTGCGTTTTTTGCCTTTTTTGGCAAACTGCATTTGTGGTTTGTGTTCCACATTGTTTTACTGGATGCTTTTGTATGTCTTTGCCCCGTTTTTGTGAGGTTCAGCTTTAGCTGTATTTTTTAATACAGCGAATCCATGATGGTCTTGAAGAAAGCAGGTAACTTATGAGCTAAAGAGATTTTAGACCTACACATTTCTTCTCCTGATACACTTAAGAGGCACCAAGAGCCCCCCACACCTGCAGCACAGTGGAGGCGTCACAAGAGGCGCTACAGGAAACAAAGAAAAGACAAAAGAGAAGGTACCCGGGAAAGACACGCAGCTAAGCCACACATGCCTTCTATCCAGTGGCCGCTGGTTGGTCTGCTTTTGCCTGGCTCTGCCATACTATTCCCTGTCCATTCCACGCAGGGACATTAGGTCACGGAGCAATTGGAGCAGTTTGAATGGGCGGGCCTAACGCGCACAGATTGTCAGTGAAATAAACCATTTAGCAATTAGCAGACGTGACGACAGCTGTAGTCCAACTCACAAAATATGAACAGAATATAAACTCACAAGAACATGGAGGCAAACTCCTCAACTAGTTCATCCATGATTACTTGGACTTGCTTGGGACTTGGAACTGCAAGATTTGGACTTGAGACTTGCACTTGGTGACCTACTACCACCATGCATTCGCATTTAATGATTGTGTAATTGTTGCAAAGCCACATATCCATTCCGCCAAGGTAGTAGGATCATTTTTTTCTTCAAATTGCAAACAGGAACAGCAAGAAATCCTTCTGAAATTTGGCTCACCAGTCGAATTCCAACAAAAGCTGAATTAATAGGGTAGTTGTAAAAGCCTTCTTCTTTTCTAAAAAACTGACAAACAGCTGAGGTTTCACCAGACACAACAATGTTTCGCACAAGCACAACTTTGTCATCAACGTCAAAACAGTTGCTGCCTTCAGAGCATGAAATGACACCATCATCTGTGACATATTTTTTGTACTGGACAGCAGCAAGCATGTGTGGAAGAGTTGGACCATCCAAGTGGGGCTTTTGAGGCTTATTAATTTCAATTTCGTTGGTTGGTTCGTTGGTTCTCTCACTGAAGCGTCGTACAATTTGCTGAATCGGATTTTGGGGTCTTCTCACCAATCTTTTTAACTGACCAAGGTAATTTTCAAAGGGAAAACATGAAACATTGTCAAGAACACCAAATTTTTGGCATCATCAGCCAAATGAATGAGGGAGTGTGTGTTGTATACGAGTTGATGCGGACCATATATTTTGACAAAGTTTTGGACATAGCATTTCAGCAATTTGTCAGCATAATTACAGTACAAGGGGCACAGTGCAGGGCTGAGAAGAATAGTCATGGCTACAGAGAGAAGCATAAAGTGATTGTACAAATGTGAAGGGAGGCGGCCTCTAAGAACTACAGGTCCAGTATACAACAAAAATTGCCTGAATTCTGTGGCCTTCCACTGGCTGTACTCCCAGAGTGATCGAGGCTTCCGGGCAAAACTCAAAGGCATATGTCCTTTAATTGACTGTAGGTGGTTGGAGATGATGGCAGTGATGACGGCTGATATCCGATTTTTCAGGGGTCCTTTGAGCCATATGCTGATAAGTCGTTTAACATTTCCAAGGCACACCAAATGCATGTAATCCAGCACAAAGCTTGAAACCATGTCTATGCCGAGCTCCTGTAAAGGAGAAACATTATGATGGTGTTCCTCATCCATCATATTCTTAAACTGTAGGTCGGTTCTAAGTGGAGCATTGCAAGCAGGAAAGACAACCCTAGAGTCTATCCGAACACCATGCTCTGTACAGCGTTCACAAGAATTATATCCGGAATGACCCTTTGTACACTTCAAAAATGCTCGGGCAGGTGCATCACAGATAAAGGCATCAGGAAGTGCAACATTGTAATGGTGTCCATTGTAGTTCAAGCCAGATTCAGTCATCTGTTTGAGGTCCTCTATAATGTCTTTCAGGTATTCATCCAGAGAAATAGGCTTTGTTGGCCCTGCATAAAGACCAATGACAATCACATGTGATTTTGGAATTTCTTTTATCATAGCCAAAATAGGCCACAATTCCATTTTGGCACTTTTAAAGAGTGGCAATCCGTCTATGTTAATCCGGAGAGTTATTGTGTCAATGTCATAAGACCCACATGCAAGCTGAGAAATGATGGCTTTGGACAATCCAAGATGATAATAACTCCCATCTCCAATTTGTTTGACATCACAAGTAGCTTTGGTTGATAAAAGAGTCCTCGGATCCTTGGGTAAATCCATGCCACATTGTTGTAAAATCTTCAAGAGCTCAGATAGCGCACTGTGGGAAATATTGCGACTTGAAGCCCAATCAGC